GAATAACTAAAACCATAACTAGTCCTTTTTCACCTTTCTCCAGTCACGATGAAGCAACAGACTTAATATACAATAAGTAGTGAACATTAAAAGTTATTTTTTTTAATCTTTTGACAGAGCTAAGATTCTTATTATGGAAATAGCCATTAGACTAATTAGAGCTAATTACTGTCTGTGACTGCAGTTCCAATTAAAAGACGAGTGTCATCAGGCTTCTCCTTTAACTTTCGTGCCTAATTTCAAGCTTGCAGTCAAACTTAAATAACTTACTGTGAATTCCAAACTTGGAATGATGGCCACATTTGTAGACAACCAAAACCATGATGAGCAGAAGTTTGCAAGCAAACACACCGAGACCCACGGCCACATACACCTGTCAAACAAACATTGTATTTTCAGTCACTAACACTCATTAGCTGCAGCTTTCGCATTGGGATTGAGAAGCGTTGGCGCAGACGCACCAAATACATCCGACTCTCCGGGTTTTCCGTGACGTCCATGTCTGATTTGTTTGTAGGACCTGCGGGGCAGGAGTGAGAGCAACAAATAAAATGACATGTAGATCTCCATTCAGTGTTCAAAGGACATGCTGAGATTTTTTATAGACTCAAAATCAACTGAACACTTACTTTGACCCACGACGTCTTGCATGTGGGAAAAGCACAAAACACATTCATGAGCAAACAGCACAGAGTACCATGATGCAACATGTGCTTCTCACGGTGCATTCACTCTGTTTAGTTTGGCTATTTCTACATATCAAGCACCGAATCACAATGCAGTAAGGTCGACACCTTTCAGTTCACGACATAGAAAGAATCCCCACAACTAGTGTGACGATCAATTAGTTTTAAGTGACACTTACATTATTGTCTCTGTCAGATATCTAATGTGCTCCCTCTTCACTCCTCATCACTTTAACACTGAAGGGCAATAACACACCTTGAGCACTGCTATGAATGCCCGGCACATAACTTGATACTATCATCATACAGTTTATATAATTCACTCACACTGAAGTCCAGATGATACCTTTGCTCTTTATCAACACTTTATATCATTTTCTCCATTCTGTTTTCATTAAGCTCTTCATTTGTTGCATTGTTAGTTATGTATATATATTTGTTTTTCTGTGCCTTTAAATCAGAATACAGAGTTGCAATAAAGCACCTAAGACAAAGTCACTTTGAATCCTATTAGGAATGCACATTACTGTCATTACAAATCTATGAAGCAAACCTCAGTGTAAAACAAACTGATCAGCTCCTAATTTAGATTTAAACAATTAAAATGTGTTTATTGTCATGAAATGCAATGATTTTTTTTTAAATAGTAACCTTTCACCACTCAGGGCTTGGAGGACAAGGTGTAGTACTTTGAAAAGGGGTCTGTATATATATAC